TAGTTTGTTTCTATACATTTTTTAATTCCAATGTATAAGTTTAACTATTTGTTTTATATAAAGTTTATAATATAACTTTTTGTATTCATGAATAAACTTGCATAGCTGTCAGTATAAGTCAATTGTGTTTAATAGTATTTATTAGATTAGTTATTTATTTGCTTTATTTAATTTGCGCATTCTGAGCTAAAATAACAGATAACATAACAGTTTGTTTATCTTTTCAAAATAGTTTTTTTGTTTAAAAAAATTATTATTTTAAACTCCTTGTTTGGTAATTGACTTCAAGAAACTATATTCCTTACTTTTTAGATTTAAATTTAACCATTAAAAGAAAATTTTAAAGTATTATAAAGGCTTTACACACACACACACACACACACACACACACACACACACACACACACACACACACACACACACACACACACACACACACACACACACACACACACACACACACAAACACATGAGTTGCAGTACTATTGACAACACACACACACATACACACACAAACACATGAGTTGCAGTACTATTGACAATTGCAATAACAAATTAAATCAAATCAATTGTATTCTAAAAATTTTAGAAAAATAGATTTACATTTCATATAAAATTTACTAAAAATTGCTAAAAAATTTAGCTAAATAAATTTATTAAACTAATTTTACTAAAATTACTAAAAATTTTAGTAAAATAGATTTACATTTCACAGTATATTTACATACAAGAACTAATTACAAATAAAAACTTTTTTATAATAGTTAAGTATAATAATAGATATTTTAAATCATAATTGATATACTTATTTACGCTATAAGACTAATATATTTCTAATTAAGATATAGCAATTGAAAAATAGTAAACTTTTATTATATATAGTAATACTATATATTTTTACTTATATTTTATACTTACTAATACTATATATTTTTACTTCATCTATTATTATTATTTATTATGTTTTGCTATATAATAATTATATATATATAGTAAAACATAATAAATAATAATAATAGATGAAGTAAAAATAATACCTGAAGTAAATAATTTGACACAAGCTAAAGTAAATAAATTGACACAATGTTTATTATTAAAAGATGATATTAAATATATTTTACAGTGATGTAAAGATTGTTTAATCAACATAACAGTAAAATAACATAATAAATTTACAAATTATTGAAATTTTGTAAAAATCCTATACACTACCAAATTTATAATATGCAAATGTAATATGGTGTCTATATTTAATTATGTTTTTTTTTTACAAGCAGAGTTGCATTTTTGTTGATAAAACCAAAAGCTGAAGATACCATTTCAATATAGTTAAAATCATTTAAGGCTATTTTATCATTCAGATATGATTACTGACAGCTACATTCACAGTAGTGTTGTTGACTGCTGTGTTCACAATTAAATGCTCAGTTGTCCTCCTCAAGCAGCGGTTTAGGTTGTATGTTGACTGTAATAACCTAGCGGTTTAGGTTGTATGTTGACTGTAATAACCTAGCGGTTTAGGTTGTAGGTTGACTGTAATAACCTAGTGATGGGTTATCTTATTTTAGCAATGATATTATAATAATAATGATAATAATAGTAACAATAATAACAACAATAACAATAATAATAATATCAATAATAATAGTAGCAGCAATAATAATAAAAATTCCAATTATTATCAGTATACTTATTATGGTAATAATAAAAATAGCAATAATAATAACAACAATAATTTAAATACAGGATTTTAAATACAGTGGTAATAAAAAGAACAATAATAAAGAAAAAAATTAAATAAAAACAAGTATCAGTAGTAATAAATCAGCATTAAAATAAGAAAAGTATTAGAGTATTTATATGTAATAGAGTGAACAGTAGTATACTTAGTCACAGGGCTCAATTTAATTTTTTATAAAGTTTCAGACAAAGTGTCTGATCAAAACTTTTTTGGGTCCGACAGTGTCTGATAAATTTTTAAATATATAATTTTTTACAGAACCAAGTTATGCAATCAAACTTTGGGTCATATTATTTGCTGAATTTACTGAATAATATTTAGTTTATTTAACATTAGTTTAGTGAAGTTTCTTTCTTTATTATTTAGAATATTTCATCACAGATTTTTTTTTGTAATATAATAGTTTCAATTCCATATTTTATATTTTAGTGATGTTTCTTTTAACAATTTCATGATGGCTTTTTTTGATGTTTTAACAATGTAAATGCAGTAAAAAAAATTTGTTACGTTACGAATAACGTTTAATTGTTGTTCTTTTTCAAACGTTTTATTTTATGCAAAGACTTTAAATAAAATCAAAAATTAATTATAATGATCATTTAAAACAAACGCATTATGTGTAAGTTAAATGTTAAATTTAAATTATTTTTAGTAAGTATGTTTTTTTATGATAATTTTAAATGCTTGAAACTATTATTTCATATCTTTTTAAAAATCTTTAAAAAGATTATTTTTTTAAGTTACTTTAAATTATGAAATTATTTTTACAAAAAATTGTTTAAAAGTTTTTTTTTTTAAACTTGACTTACTAATCAAAGTATGAAATGATTAAAAATTACTATTTTAAAAAGACTAGACCCTTTTTAAACAATTTTTTTTTTGGCCTTTTTTGAAAAATATTCTTATACAACTTAAAAATGTTATATATTTTTTCTTTTCAATGATTACATTTCACTTTTCAATAATTTAAATAAAATTTAGTAGTTTTCATTTTGAGTATTTTGAGTTTTATTTTATAGCAAATTTATTTTCTTTTTTGTAAGGATTTGTTTTGTTTATTCTTTATTTATTTCAGTAATAAAATATTTATTTTTAAGAATTCAATTCCCATCTGTCAAAATGTCAGGTTACCTTTTAAATTAATCGGATAATCTGAAATTTTAGCCGGACAATGTCCGACGTCTGACTGTTCAATTGAGCCCTAAAGTTAAGATAGTTAGCAGTAGAAGAGCATAGGAATTACAAAGAAAATTTATTTAATAAAAAATTGAAAAGACAGTTTTTGATTTGGAAACTGCAGGGAGTGATTTTAATTATAAAGAAAGACTATTCCATATATATTTAAGAGATTCACGACCGTAATAAATAGTTTAATGTTAGGTTACAGGTAAGTTGAGGCTTTTAACTGAAGATGGTGATGAGTGTTTTTTTATATAAATAAAAAGATCAGTAAATAGTAAAGTGTTTTATATAATATTTGAAAAACATATCTTGGATGAAATTCAAAAACGATATATGTTAAGGAGTGCAATAATATGAAGGAGTTACTAACCACGGAAGTTGAGAGAATAAAAATGTTAGTTATCTTTTTAAAATAGTAATTATAATCATTTCATACTTTGATTAGTAAGTCAAGGTAAAAAAAAAACTTTTAAACAATTCTTTGTAAAAATAATTTCATAATCTAAAGTAACTTAAAAAAATAATCTTTTTAAAGATTTTTAAAAAGATATGAAATAATAGTTTCAAACGTTAAAAATTATCATAAAAAACATACCTACTAAAAATAATTAAAATTTAACATTTAATTTACACATAATGTGTTTGTTTTAAATGATCATTATAATTAATTTTTGATTTTATTTATATAATATTATTTGGATTAAAGCATCCACGCATTAACCAAAAGTTATTTTTAGTTAATAAAAATTTTAATAGTGTTTTATTTAAAACAGCAAAATAATTTAATTTATTTACCAATCATTTTTATTGAAAAATTCTACTTTAAGTTGTTTGTTTTATGTGGTTTTGAATAATATACATGTATAATATTTTGGTCATTGAATATTTTAAAAAGCTAAATATATAAAAAAAAAATTAAAAGAAAAAGTTTCTGAATTCTTTGAAAAGAAGTGTAACATTTATATAATATTAATTTAATTTGTTAATTATCATGTTCCAATATCGTTTTGAACGTCAAAACCTAGTACAGTTTTTACGTAACTGCCGCAATAGCTTTTTAGGTGTGCCACATGGCTGACAACACGAGTTTTGAAATGGAGGGGTACAATCAATTTTTTTTTTTTAAAAAAAGTCCTCTATATTTAAAGTTTTCTTAAAAAAAAAAGGTACTTTAGAAAAAAAGTCGGTGGGCACGTGCTACCCCCCTGGCATTATGAGCCCTGTGTCAAACAAATAGGTTGATGGGATTGTTGACAATTATACCTTGTTAATCCTTTATTTTGTGTGCACTTATGGCATCTTTTATTTTTATTTTCATTTCTAATATTATCTTTTGTTCTAAAATTGGGATTGTTCTAAAACGATGTAAGCTATCACTGAGTTCTTTTGGCAACTCTCTTTTTTTTTTTGCACTTCTTGAAATAAGTTAAGGCATTTTTTTTTAATTTTTACCTCTTTTTTATCTAATAGATTTTTTTTGAAATTTCTTTATATCTTTTGAACTTTCAAGATTAAATAATCCATTTCATCCATTTTAAAGGCAAAAAGGAGGAATTACTAATATATTAAAAAGACAAATGAACAAATTAAAATATATTTTAAAAATATATACAAAAAATGTTTTAATTATAAGTATAAAAGGTTAGATTTATATCCAACCTTTTGTAGTAAAGACTTTTGTAACCAATAACGCTCTAAGGCGCAATGTATCAATTTGATATTTTCATTTAAAAAAATACATCCCTGTTGAATTGAACAATAAATAATATCAAATTATGTCTACAAATTTAAAAATGTATATATATATATATATATATATATATATATATATATATATATATATATATATATATATATCAGTCTTCTTCTTTATATGTGTATATATATATATATAACTATATATTTATAAATATATATTATTATAATAGTTATGTATTTATATTATTATATTTTTATATTATATATTATATAAATAATAGTTATTTATATTGTATATTATATAAATAGTTATATATTTATATTATATGTTATATAAATAATTATATATTTATAAATATATATTTATTATATATTTATAAATATGTATTTTTCAGCAATATAAACATTATTTTAAATTTATGGCGTGATCCATCAGATATTTAATACTCTTTAACATTATAATATGAAGCATCAATGTGAGATAGAACTTAATAATAAAGAAAAGGTTTATCATTTAATAGTAGTTGCAAAATTGATTTAATTAAAATTACTAGTTTTTTTATTAATTAAAATGAATTTATTTTATAACTTATTTTATAATTTATTTTAGATGAGTTTTTTAAACAGAAACACTCTTCAAAAATCTAAAACAATCCACAAGACTCGCATGAGTGTCTTTTATTTTCTAGAAAAACCTCAAACAATATTTGCTCTGCTTTATCATAAAGTCATGTAAGTTTAATATTTTTATTTTTTTTAACTTCAGCGGTTATGATACGTTTTATTTATTGTAAGAAAACTATTGATGCATTTATAAATAGCCTAACAGCAAATGCCACCTGAATCTTTCGAAGGCCTACTGGAAATAGCGTTTTGATGCAATTGAGTCTTTTTTAACTGGTTTATTTTTTAACTTATTTCTTAAATTTAAATTACTTATTAAAATTAGTTTTTTTTTTGCCATATTTTGCATTTCTACATTTAGCTATGTTTTTGCCATTAAAGGTAAATTTGTTCTTTTATTTTTATCAATGACAGGCCTTCTCGTAAGAGGCTTGCGATCGGACACTATATGACCACGCATATAGTTCTTTATTTTAACAACTTGACCACGGCTTTTTGCAAGTTTCGATAATTAGCGCGTTATAAAAATTATAATCGTTTATAAAAATTATTCGTATGAACATTACAAAATGCTTTAAAACTTTTTCATTAATCAACAAAATACATGCTTATATAAGTAAATAAAGTTATTTTATATTCTTGTATAATTCACATACAATTTATAAAACCTAGTAGTCACAAAAGCTTTTGAACTTATTCACAAATTGAAGTAACTTAAAAAAAATCCTTTCTAAAAATAATGGTTTAAAAATGTTTTAGAAAGACATGGAAAAGTAGTTTCAAACATTGAAATTTATCATAAAAAATACATGCCTACATAAAAAAAAAACGCTTTTTATTAATTTGCACATGCGTTTATATAAACAATAACTATAATTAATTTAATGGTTTTAATTAAAGCCTACGCGTAAAATAAAAACTTTAGAAAAGATCAACAATTAGAAGATATTTATAAAGTAGCACATTTTTTATTGCATTCAAAATGTTAAAACATCAAAATAGCTGCGGTCAAGTTATAAAGGGAAAAAAAAAATTAGCGTGGTCAGATAGAGAGTGCAATCGCACGCTATTCCTGTCCAAGCCTGATATATAAAAAGTGGTATTTTAATAATTTCTATTATTAACTAATTTACTATATATGTATATTTGCTTTTAATTTACTATGTATATATGTTTGTGTTCTGTATGAACTTCTGGTGCAGTGTTTACTCACCCATAAGTTACTATTTATATGTTTGTGTTCTGCCTGAGCCTCTGGCTCCCTGTTCATCCACTTATAAGTTCCTATATATATATATATATATATATATATATATATATATATATATATATATATATATATATATATATATATATATATATATATATATATATATATATATATATATATATACATACACATATACATATACATATACATATACATACACACACACACATATATATATATATATATATATATATATATATACAGGCCTTGTTTTAAATAAAAAAGTGCTCAACGCATTAGCTTAACGCGATATTTGACGTCATAAGGTTATCTTTATTTTTTTTTATAGACGTTAAGTGTTTTAATTACCTCAATAAATGAATAACCGCAAACTAGTTCAATTTAACAATTAACTCAATTAAAACAATGTATAAATGTTGTAAATGTAAATATATTATAAAAAATTTGTTGTGTTTTGAATTTGTTATTTCAAAAAATTGTAGTTGCGTTATTTAATTAAAAAACTTCGAGAGTAAACAAAAAGTATTAACGTATTGATAAACGAAAACCCTTGCTTATTACTTGAACAGCGATTTTGTTTTGACTAGGTTTTTAAATATATCACGTATATTTATGTCGCTCAGCGTTTTCACTTGCGTTGTATAAAAATATAAAAAAAGTTTAAAGCATGTTTTGTGCATATTTTTGCACTAAAATAGAACGCGTTCGCCAGGAATTTAATGAATGAATGTTTTACGTTATAAATGTTTTACATTTAAACAAATCACAAAAAACCACAGAGCTATAGAGAATAATTTTTTTAACAACTAAATTTTTTTTTTTTTTTTGAATTTTATTAAACACAAAAAAATTCAATTACATAGAAAAGTCTTAATACTCTTTTGTTAATAATTCTCAAAACGAAAAACTTTTTAAATGCTTCTACGCAATCGTGCAAACTTAAAAAAGTACTCAAATAAAACAAAAGTATATTTAATAAATCGTATCATATCTGTTTATAATAAACATTTGTTAAAAATTGCTCATAAAAAATTAAGTTTCTTAACTTAAAAACAAACTCTAAAGTATTTTAATTTTATTATAAAACTCTTTTTTTTTTTCGTTTGCAAGCAATTTAATTTAGGGTAACAAAATAAAAAGAAGGAGAATAAATACGAAGTAATCTTTGTTAAGAAACATTTAATTTATTTATTGAACAATACTATTTTTATTTGTATACTTAAATAAAATATACTGTTAAATAAGTCAAATTCAAAAATAATAAATTCGTTTATCTGTATAAACTTGAATATATAATTTTTATTTATTAGATAATTAGTTCACGAAGACTATCTGTTAAAAGATCATCGTCACTATCAATGTCCTCCGTATCACTTGTTTCGATTAGTTGATCGAAATCTGCTAAGTCTTTTTGAACAACTTCTTTTTCGGCAATATCAGCGACACATTTTCGGCGTTTTTGCGTGTACTTGGCGAGAGAACGCTCAATTATATCATCATAGTCTTCTTCTGACCAAAGACTATGATTTCCAAGAACTACGACACAATCAGCAAGTGCTTCATGACTCAAAGAGAGGCGTTTATCCGATAAGATATTAGTAACAGTACTAAATGTTCTTTCAACTTCTGAATTGGACCCCGATATACACATAATTAATGACATAAGGCAACATAGGTTTCGATATTCCATAAAGTATTTTTTAAAAATAATTTTCCACAAACTGCGCACTGGATGACAATCAAACTCAGTTTTAACTAGTCGTTTTAGTTTTTTCCATTCAGTTAACGCAACATCTTTTTGAAAACCGGCGTTTTTTAAAGGCGCTTCAAAATGGTTACAAATATAGTTGATTTCCTGCACTCCTGATTCTGGGTCTTCAATTATCCAATATATTGGGTCAATAATTTTCATGCTTCTATACAGTATAAATTCTCTTGAATAGTCTTGAAACCTAGTTGATAATATCGAATACAGTTTTGAAAAAATGTTTTTTTTAATTCGACGAATTTCGTCAATTGATTCGTCATGATCAAAACTATTCATTTCTAGTATTACGCTGATATACTTACGATTTTTAACGTGCTTTCGTTTATCACCAGCCTTAGCAAACGAACCTTCGACATCAGTTTTATCGGTGACAAAGTAGCGATTTATGAAGCTGTCAATAAATTCGTCATCTTGCCATTTAATTTTATCTTCTATCTCCAATAGGGTTCGAGATATAGTAGTAGGAATTTCATGAGCCAATAACTCATTGGTTTCGAATATTTTAGACGCAGGAATAATTACTTCCAAGCTGTCTAGATACAAACCAACTTTGTAGAGGAAAGAATGACACTTAAAAGATTTCAATAGGCCTTTCACTTTCGCTACAGTTTTAGAATTGCTCTGTTCGCTTACATAATTTTGATAAGCCATAATAAAAGCTGGCCATGTTTCTAACAAATTCAAAACTCCTCTCCTCCTGTGTCCAACAAACCTTGTTCCAGTAATTTTTGGTAAGTTGTAATGCGTTAAACCGAGGCATTTTGAAGCTGCTTCAACTTCTGCTTTTAACTTACCTGAATTTCTTAATAGATAGTAATTAGCAATATAAAAGTCATCAATCTTTATAAAATCAGGAATTTCTTTAAACGCATCTTTTACAGCCAATTCAATTCTATGATTAATGCAATGAACTTTAATCAACCATGGGCGGTTTTGCTGCAACTGGGAAAGCACACCTTTATGTATACCGAAGTTAACACTTGCCCCATCTGCTGTTGCACATATAACTTTGTTGGTATAATCTTCGGTACTTAATTTAAATAATGATTTATCCGATTCAAAAATACTGTTTATACCAATGGTCACAGAGTTAGAGTTGCTACCACCAAAAAGTGACATATCCAACAACTCTGTTACCATGTAAATCGGTACGCCATTGTTATCAGTTCGAACTAAAACTAGTTCTTTTTCTTTTCCAGTTTTTCTTGTTTGACTTCCATCACTAAGAATGGAAAAAAAATTGCACCGTTGGAGGTTTTCAAAGCATTTTTCCCGCACAGAGTCAGCACAACATTTAATCATTTCTCTGCATGTGCGCCCATTCTCGTTGCGTTTAATAAGGCTTGCGCCAGTAATTTTGGCGCACCTCACCTAAAATAGTCAAATACTAAAGTCAAATACATTCCGATATATAAAAAGGCTGTTGATCGGGCAATGGTATTGTATCTTTAATTTTTTAAAATTTTGTTGTCAAATAAATTATTATTTTATATAAATTTTATATTATATTTTAAATCAACCAATCAGACTACCGCGACTTTAAGGAGATGTTAAAGAAACGGTACCATTGAGGGAACAACTTATAAATAAATAAAAAATCATTCAGTAATAAAGTACAAGTAACAACATAAAACAAAGAAAACTTAAAACAAAGTATTTCAATGCAAATAGCAACTAATTTAGCACTTACCAAAACAGAAAAATGTGCGTGAGGCATTGTTGGGTGGCACGCCATTTCATAGGCAATTTTTACAAGGTTACGATAAGAATTTTGCATGTGTATTTCTTTCAAGGCAGAAGAATTTAAACATGAGCTTGTTGACAAATTTTTGAAAACAACCTAAATAAATAGTAGCATTTTTTTTTTTTTTTCTTTCTGCTTGTAAAGGCGACGAATACTCTACTTATATTTTTGACACTATTCGTTAAATTCATTTGCGACATTATCCCTTATTCTGTTATTCAATGCAACAAATTGCGACACTATTCCTTTTTCACATTTTCGACAATCAAATTTGTGACATTATTCCTGTCACCCATTATAACATGTTATAAATAGTTTTGTAAAAACAATTTTTTTTAATAAGAATTTTTTTTTTTTAAGTAATCGAACCTATGAGATGAGAACTTATAAAATAATATTATTGAATTATTTTTAGTTTTTTAAAAAATTGTTATTTTAAAAGTATACTATAAAGTAAGTTATTTATTGATTCCGAAAATTTTGCATCCAGAGCATGCATTACTGCATAATTATCCAGAGCATGCATTACTGCGTTGAAGCGATCATCATATTATGTGACTTTAGTCAATTATAAAACGTTATTACGTTTTACATTTCGTGACTTTAGAATAATAAAGCTCTATCTCCATTTCTTGAAGTTGGGAATCAACCATAAATTGGTTGTCGGTAAAATGCGAACGGCGAACAGGTAAAAATGCGATCTTTTTTGCAAATCATTACCTTTTAAAAACCATTATTGTTATGATAAAAAAAATAATAAAAAAATCTCCCATTCTTAATTATCTATTTTAAAGCTTTATTTTAAAAATATATATATTTTTTTAAACTGTAAAACATGCGTGGAGTGTTGCTACATCAACTATCTTATAGCCTGATTCGCAACGGAGTGCTGCTACATCGACTATCTTATAGCTTGACTCGCAACGGAGTGCTGCTAAATCGACTGAGGGTTTAGTTCGGAAAGGCAGTCTATCAAATAATAAAAAAAAAAAATTATATTGTATTTGTCTAGTTTCACTTAATTTCTTTTTAATTCTTTTTAATTAATATTTTCCTTAAAATATACTGCTAAATGAACAATTCATCAGAAATAAAACATTACATCATTAACAATCAGTAGGACAATGGTTCGCAAAAAAGTTCGCATTTTACTAGTTCGCAGTTTGCAGTTCGCATTTTATCTAGTACCCCATAAATTACGCAACGCTAAATTTCACTAATAAACAAGACAAAATAATCAAAAGTGTTCATTCGCAGAGCGTAAATTAAAAAAAAAAAAAATGAAAATAGCCTATTAAGTTTAGTAAAAATCGCTGAGTAAAAGAACTTAAGAACTCCTATAACTGTTTTTCAAATAACTTTAGCGTTGCGTAATTTATGGGCGATCCCTTGAGAGAATTTAACTTTCGATATTTAGTTATTTAATTATTCGTTGTTTATACTGATCAAATATATATATTTTTTAAATTCTGTCAACATTACAAAAGTGAAATAGAACCCTAATATTCTAACGTCGCAGTTTACAAGAGTTAAAAATTATTTTAAATCTAAAAACTTTACTTAGATAAATATTTAATTTAATAAACCGAAAATACAATTTTTTTTTTTGCTTTTAATTGAAATGGGATCGATTGACAATGAAACAAAAAAATTAAACTAATTTATAAACCCTTACACTGTTGGCTACTCCATCATTTTTGTCGAAGCTTTCATTTTCTAATTGAATTGCATGTTGGTGAGTCGCTCCTGACAAATGTCTACAAATACTATCTTTTTTAACATAATTTGTACCATTTATAAACCGTAGAGCAGCTGCCCTCACGGCACCATTGGTTTTGGATAAGATTTTATTTTGATGAAGCTTACACAAAGTACATATGATTTTAATAACATAAATCTTCTCTTTTTCTGTGACTGTTTCAATTTGAAAAACATCAGCAAAGTCCCAAGACTTAAAAGTTTTCAAAGTAATATTTTTGTTCTTCAAAATGCAATCCATTATTGAACTTCAAACAATTTGGAGAGAATAGAAATATACTAGGTTTTGATACTCTACTTTGTCTTATTTTATACAGAAAAATACATAGTCATTAGTAAAGAATAAAAACTGTCATTAAACTAACACATGCTTTAGTTTTAAATTAAGGGAGTCGGCAACGTGCGCATGCATAATAAAACATCCGTTGTATAAATATATTTAACGTAATATTTGTGTCATCAGCGGATGTTATAGTCTACTCGTGATGTCTTTAATTTTATAATATAACTTGATTCATGAAAAAAAAAATTTATTGAATCGCACGCAGTTAAACAAATTGTCTTCTTTCAAAAATTTTGACTAATAGGTAACTTTTTTTTCTTATGTACCAGCCCCCTCCCCCTGTATATCTTAAAGTTAAAGGTACTTTTAACTAAAAAAAGCAAAGAGTAATAATTAATGAAGAATTAAGTTTATGTAAATTAAAAATAAGTTATTCATATACTAACACATTTTTTTAATATCTTCAAAAAATGTCTTCATATTTTTGTTGTCAGAGATTACAAAATATAATAATTTTTGTAACATAGACTTATATAAAATTTTGTACTGTATTTTTTATTCAAATCATCTAGAAAAAAGTTTTAGTTAAAGAATGGCGAACTTTTTTCATTTTGTTAAATATTTAGATAAAAAGGTTAGCGTAAAATTACGTTGAATATAATCGTAATAAAAAGATAAAAAATATCATCGCGATAAAAAGTTACAACAATTATTTTTAACGTAACTTCTTTCAAACTTTTGTAACAAATATTTTTACATATCATTATTCAAAAGTTTGTGGTTTTTTTTTAAATTAATTACTTCTTTTATGTTACCGCTAATTTAAAAGTTAAAAAATGATAAAAAGTAGCTTAACCAAAACAGCTCTACGCGTACGTAAAAATCGCTTAAGGCGTACGTAAATCGCTCTAGGCGTAACGCTTTAAAACAAGGCCTGATATATATATATATATATATATATATATATATATATATATATATATATATATATATATATATATATATATATATATATATATATATATATATATATATATATATATATACATATACATATACATATACATACACATACACACACATATATATATATATATATATATATATATATATATATATATATATATATATATATATATATGTGTGTGTATGTGTATGTATATGTATATGTATATATATAAGAAAAGAGTAGAGTTATATATATATATAAGAAAAGAGTAGAGTTATAGAATAAGGAAACAGTTGACAGAAGAGTTGAAAAGTTTAAGGTTGTATTAGTCAGGAAAACATGAAGATGGGACGGGTTGAAGTGTTGGGAAATAAGCTAGACAAATAAAAGTTTTTGAAGCATGAAGAGACGTACAGTAAAATAATGAGGCTTTGATGAATGATGATTCAAGCAAGAATGAGTTTTGGTTGATGGAACTAGAGATGAAAGCTCCTTTGAGCAGCAACCACAATAGTATTTGTAGAAAGAGAAAGAGATATAACTAACACCTAACTATTTAAATAATTAGTTTTTAATTTATTAGTTTTTTTAAATAAATTTTGTTCACTTAAATTTCTTTATTTTAAAGTTTTTAAAAAGAAGAAATTTAAGTTGCCTCCGATTTTTTAAAACTTTTTTAACCATAGTAATTTTTTTTTGATTTCGAATTCAAAGTAGTTCTCAACATAAACAGCTTCTTCTTAAATTTCTAATAATATTCTGATCTTACCATTCAATTATGTTTATATTTAGATATGTTCAATTACTTTTGATAAAAAATATCTATAGTTATTAAAATAGAAAATTAAAAAAAAAGTTTAGGTGGAAAATATTATAATGTTCATTTATTTAAGAAACTTCATCTTCATAAACTTTTTGCTTAGAATTATTAAATAGTTATGCTTTTGAACGCTTTTAAAAAACTTTGAATTTACAAACTGTTTATATTGTTCAAATCTTATATAACAGATTATAGAGAATTTTTTTTAAAAGAAGCCAAGTATCATTTTTATTGTTTTGAAATAATTAAAAATAAACTAATTATCTAGTATTTTTTGTATGAAGTATTTATTTTTTTATATCAACAATTTTGTAATCGTAAATAAAGATGAAAAACAGCTTTTTTTATTTATACAACGAAGATAGATTTGTACCTTTTTGGATAAAGAATTCAAATGCTGAAATAACTCAATTTCAGAAAAATCAAGAGTTTTTTTTGTGAAATTTTTATGAAACCTAGTTAATTTATATATTTCTTTTCTGATTTTTTATTTGCTTGTGAATCTTTTTTATTTGATTGTGAATCTTTCAGTTGAATCCTTTAGCTATGTAAATGTGCAAATGATTGTTACAGTTTGTGTAGTGATAATTAAATTAACTAACACTGTATATGTCTGTTTTATTATTCCTTGTTTTTATAAATCTTTAATTCTTTAAATTTGGTTTAAATGAAGCCCGTTTTTTGTATATTTCAGGTTTGTTTTGGTTTTAGTTAGTCTTTCACTTAGCATCCTAATCACAATTGAATCATTTGCTCGCAACACCAAAATTCACTCTGCAATTTATTATATTGTAAGCTTTATAGCTTTGTGTTTGTATTTTGGAAATGTTTTTTATTTTTCTCTTATTTATAATAATGATGGCATTTTATTAACAATATATTTAGGAAGTTTCTTTGGCAATAGTATTTACAGCAGAATACAGTTTACGGGTTTGGTCATGTTCAATACAATCTAAGTATGCAGGAGTTAGTGGCAGGTTGCGTTTTATCAAAAGACCTTATGTTATACTAGGTAAAAATAAAAAAATAATATTCTTTCAATATTTATTATTGACATTTGAGATAAATAAATAATTTTAAAAATAGTTTATTTTAAAAATAGTTAAAAACTTTCTCTTTTTTTTTAATCTGAAGTTTATGTTTTTTATACGAATTGAAAAAAAAAAAAAAATTTATAAATTTTTTACAAATTTGTACTAAGATGCATATGAAACAACTGCTTTTTCTCATTATATAGAAACCCCTTCTTGTTTAAAACAAAAGACATTTTTCAATGTATATTTTTTAATAATATAAATATTGAACTTCTTATGAACATTCAGTTGGTGGAAAAGATGCTTTTCATGCTCAGCTCATTTGAGTTCACGCATATCAGATGGCAGTTAGAAATAGTATGAAACGCAGTTTTAATAAACAACCTTGGGGCTGCTGGTTATGACTGGTATAAATGTTTCATAGAGAGGCATTAGCAGCTATTTTAGGTTTATAGGTGTGTTTTTTAATTAAGAAGAAGTTATATTTACAAGCAAGCTATATGAAGAATACATCTGGAAATGTCATGAAACAGTTATTTCTACAGTTTCAAAATATCTCAATAAAGTTAAAATAAAAGACTCGCCAAAATTAAAGAGTCAAATTAGTTCTCTCAATTTTTTTAAATTTAGCTCATAAGGTTCAGCTTCTCACAGCAGGTATTTGCTCTTTAACAAGTGGAGTTACATGATGATTTTTCCTGATCAACACATGAAACCAGAATTTATGGAAAGAGCACCATCAGGTGGCTAGGCTGAATGCCACCTAAGTAGATAGATACAAAATAATTTTTCAGAGTTATCCAAAATAAAAGACTCAAATTAGTTCTCTTAATTTAGCTTATAAGGGTCAGCTTCTCACAGCAGGTATTTGCTCTTTAACAAGTGGAGTTACATGATAATTTTTCTTTGTTAACACATGAAGCCAGAATTTATGGAAAGAGTACCACCAGGTGACTTGGCTGAATGCCACCTAAGTGGATAGATACAAAATATTTTTTTTGATTGGTTTAAACAAGTTTTTTTTTTCAAGGTTGTAAAGTACATCAACCTTATGTACCTTGGATTTGATTTTTTTAAAGCTACTTAGCGTTTACTATGACCACAATATCAGAAAATGATTGAGAACAAATCTTAAACGTGTAATCACTCTATTTCAAATACAAGGGTAATTCTATTCAAAGAAGAGTGTAGCCAGATTCTAACTGTCAGTGTAGCCAGATTCTAACTGTTGACCAGCTTCACACCCCTTCTTCATCTATTTGTCTGGTGTAGATATATTTATAATACATTGTTTCCACTTCAACATGATGAATGCTGGAGCTTCTTGACTCACTGGATGGGTTTTGCTTGTGTCTCTGTTTTTATGACTAGGCAACTCATTCTATTATCTTCTAATGAGGGTACAGCTCTAAAACTCAGTTTTATGGTTCTAAGGCTGGCTGGTAGTCAGGGTTCCTAAACTCTGTGGTAGTTTTCAGAGAGGCTGATTCGATCAGCAGCTGTAAAGTATCAGAGTATTAACAGTGACATGTTGTGCATGGACGGTATCCCTGCTCATACTTTTGGTATGCATTGCTGAGGCTATATTTGTTATGACATAGGGTTTATTAATTGTAATAAGGCAATTGATTGGATTATTAGATAGTGTACTGAGTACTATCTGTGCTTTAAGTCAAGTTCTTTAACAAATTAAAAAATTGCCTAAAGTATTAAAAACTGTAAAACACAATAAACCATCGTCTTCACCAAGTTCTCTAAATCTATCATTCACTAATATTTGTGGTCTTCAAAGTAAATTTCCTTCTGTTGAGTATTTAGTATCTTATCTCCTGCAAAGTTCACCAGACCTACTTGCTCTTTGTGAGTCTAATTTGAGCTCAGCTGTCTCATCTTGTGATCTTAGTGTTAATGGATATCTTTCTTTAATTCGTAAAGACTAATTGTCAGATGCTTGGCCTTTACATTCATAAGAGTTCAGTCATTTGTTTGAAAACTAGGTTTGAATCCACAGACTATTTTTTTATGTACTTTTGTTTAGTACCACTTCACTCTATCACCTCTCTCTTTGTTCTATATCACTCTCCTTTATCTCAAGACTTCACTATTTTCAATTTTATTTCTGATCAAATTGATGGAGCCTTTTCCTTTATGCTTCAGCCAATATTGTTGTTGGTGGTGACTTTTAATGCTCATCACACTGAATGGCTTGGCTCTAATGTCAGTAGCCTACAACTTTTGTCTTTCTCAATTTCTAACACAAATAGTCAACTTTCCGATTCACTTTCCAGACAATTCAAATCATTTACCTTCTCTACTCGACTTATTAAACTGTCTGCAACATGTGCTCTTTTAAAACAAAAATCTAAAAATAAAATTTTACTAATTTTTATCTAAAAGTAAAAATTAGTAAAATGAACATATGTAAAATGCTGCTTTAAAAAAAAGTGTTTTTTTAATTTATATTTAAATGTGAGTTCAAAAGTAATTCAAATGTCTGATGGTGTAACTTGTTGAAAAGTTTGGCAAAGAAAAAAAGTTTTTTGTCATTTCAAACTTGAATGTCATTTAGTAGCAATATCATTCATGCGCTGATTTAGAAGAAAAAAAAATCATAAATTGTCAAGTTTTACCTGTGAGCTATCCCTATACAGTGAATAAAGTCTATAACTTATTTTACTGTTTCTTTGTCCCCCATTTTGACCCTAGCAAAAGGCAAACCATTTTTGTTTTTGAAGATTTTCAAATCTTTAATTTTTTTATTAAATGCTGTTTGTTGTTTGCTGTTTTGTCTTCCTTTGTCAAATAGTTTGTATTTTTTTTTGTCCAATACTTTAATTTAATAATTTGAAAGAATTTTTTTTTAATATAGTTTTGAATTATTAAATTGAATAAAGTTTAAATGATTGTTATCAGTTTTTTTTAATAATTTAAATAGTACCCTATCATACTCTATTTTCCCTTATATAATAAAATGTCTACTAAAAGAGTCATAATATCCTTGGCAAAAGAACATATATTAAATAAATGTCACGATCCATTGAAAGTTATTTAAAAAATAGTTTGGTGTTGCCTATAGATTATGACTGTTAAAAAAAGTGCAATAAAATTGAAATCAACTTGTTTGATATAAATAATTGTAATTAAGTTTAATTTAAAACCAGGTTAAAAATGAGATTTAATAACTTTTGAATTTAAAACTTAAAAAAATCATTAAAAAAAGTTATAACAGAAATCACTGATTAAGTCTAGATTTGCTATTAGATAAATATATTTCATTCTAGTTTATTTCTTAAAATAATCATATTCATAACAATCTTTTGTTTGTTTATTCTGATTTAGTTTTTTTTTTTTTTTTACATATTTAATAAACTTTTTTAAATAGTTGTTGTGTAATGTTCTGTAATGTATGTGTAATGTTCTTTTGTTTGTATGTGTAAAGTTCTATGTTGTGTAAAGTTCTTTTGACATAATTTATTTATGAATATAAATTATGTTTATGAATATCGAATTGGTATCTATAAATTATTTGTATCTATTAAAAGTAGGTTATATTTTTATTAAAAGCAGTTTATTAAATACGTAAAAAAATATATATCAGCAGGCCTTCTCGTAAGAGGCGTGCGATCGGACGCTTTATATGACCACGCATATAGTTCTTTGTTTTAACAACTTGACCACGGCTCTTGCAAGTTTCGATAGCTAGCGCGTTTAAAAAATGCGCTAAAAGAAAACAAAGCAAATGTAAATTATCAAAACTTGCAATGAGCCGTGGTCAAGTTGTTAAAACAAAGAACTATATGCGTGGTCATATAAGATGTGTGATCGCACGCCTCTTACGAGATGCCCTGTATCAGTATAACAATATAATTTGTATAACAACAATATTGGCTGAAGGATAAAGAGAAAGGGTTCCATTAATTTGATCAGAAACAACATAGAAAACAGTGTAGTCTTGATGAAGTTTAAATTCGTTATTTGAAAATCTTTTTCAAGAATTTAAACTTCATCAGTATGTTTTGTTATAATTTTTTTTTTTTTTTTAATTTTCTACTATTTTAAGTTTAGATGTTCTGTAATTAGGTTTTATTTTTGACGCGGTTTTAAATTTATTAACGCAGTTTTAAACTTAATTACAATGCGGTACTTTAAATTATGTCAATGACACAATTTAAATTTTAACTATGTAAATAGAGATGTAATTATGTAAATTGACTATGTAAATATGTAAATTGACTATGTAAATATCAATGGTGAATTAAAGATACTTTAGTTAGCGTTAAGCATATATGTAACAAAATCTTGTAACAAGGCCTCATATAATATGTTCTTTGACGTTGCAAAAAAATATATATTGTTTAACAAATGACATAAACTAAAATCACCAGAATAGTGGTGTGGTAACAATGGCGTTAGTTATTTTTGCTGTTGTTTAATATTGTTAGTATTGGTATTGTGTTGTTTCAATGTCACTTTTAAGCTATTGTATTGAATTTAAACGCTTTATTATTAAACTTATTTTCTAATTATTTACTAGTGAATTTTTAAAATCTTTTAAACTTTGTGTTATTTAGGTGTAACCTAATCAATTAGTTTAACAACACTATTCATTTAGCTATGAATAGTGTTGTCGACTAATATATTTTCTTAACTCCACTAATACATTTCTTAACTCCACTAATACATTAACTCCACTAATACATTAACTCCACTAATACATTAACTCCACTAATACATTAACTCCACTAATACATTAACTCCACTAATACAATTGTCATAAAAATAACAAAGTAATTTTTTTTCGTCTTTTTTTAACATCATATCATTTAAATGTTAATTAAGCAAAACAATATGAGAGAAACTGCCTTAAATACTTGCTATATATCAAAGTCTTTAAAATCATATTAACAGTGTGATTGTATAGAAAACATTTTTGTTTTAAAGGGTCGCTAATTAATTTAACCACAGGGTCCCGAGCCAGTTTGAAGTGGCCCTGCATGAAAGTATTAATGAAAGTCAAAAGCATTGAGTAAACAAAAGAAAAAAAAAATTAATGAAATACATAACTGATTGTTTAATTAGGTATAATTGTTTTCCTTTTTTTATGTAGTTATTAAGGTGCTCCCAGAACTCCTTACAGTCTTGTTACAAAGCACCAAAAAGAGCCTAAATAATCCTAATATGCTATGAAAATCAGATAAAATTTTATAAGAGTAAACAAAAAATAGGTAATTAAAGATATCATATTTCCTAAAATAGCCATTCACTATGTCACCGCCACCGACAAATAATAAAAACTTTTTAGCTAGTTCTGTGAGGATAATATTTTGTGTTTGCTGACCAGCACTTGTAAGGGTTTGCTGTCCAATTTAAGCAAACGATTTTATGTAAAAACTAATATCATTTGCAATTGGAATTATTCTTTCTTGCATCTTCATATGTGTGCATTTTTTCGTAGAGATTAGTTTGATTGTTTTCAATTAGATTTCTTTTTCTTATTTAGTAGAGCTGAATCATCACCGGTGCTACTAGTCACTGGTGATGGTTTATTAATGTCAAGCAGCCTTTCACTGAAAAAGGAATTATCGCATTGTTTTATTGCAACTGTCTTATTAACATACGGTTAATTATACGGTTAATTATAATTAACCGTATAATTAACATTGCAACATTATAATTAACATAATTAACAAGTTGAATAATTTTTTAAGTTCAGGTTGTAGTGAAAATTTATCTATATTAACTGCTGTGATTTCCTTATAAATGCAAATAGCTGAGCTGGTTGTTTTGGTTATTATTTTGAGTGGTTTAAAGAGAATGATGTGTTTATAAATAACTATAGGTAAATTAAGTTGATGAAACAAATAATGTGTGCTGTTATACTGCCAAGTCATAAATTAACAAAAATGCCCACAGCATAGAGTTTTTTGTCAGAATACCTACATCATGTTGTGGTTATTCTGGCAAAAAAAATTAACTCGTTAAGTAAAAAAAAAATCCTTGTTAAGAGAAATCAATCATTTTTCTATTTCATCAATTAAATTTTCTTCCTATTTGAAACTTTTATAATCTTATTAACTTGCATTTGGTGTTGACATTTAAATACACCATATGGTGTATTTAAGTCAAAACTGCCAACTTTTGACTTAACGTCTTTTCCCAGTATACACATGATATACACTTCAATGAACCAGGTCAGAACCTTCAAAATAGGAAAGTGTCACCAAATATTTGGCAGAAGAATATTTGATGCTTCAGCCAAGCGTCTAGCCGAATATTCTGTATTGAACAAAACCACTATTTGTGGTATTCAACAAAACCACTATCTTTAGTTATAATAGTACATGCTTTTGTTTTTAAATAAACAAACAAAAATATAGATTGGAAAGTTAAATCGAATCAAAAAATAAAAGAATTTAAAATTTAAAATTTTTTTCACTTGACTGAATTTTTCAGTTGATTAGTAGGTATTTTTATATTATATTATTATATTTTAAGTCTATAGTCAAATAAATCAATTATTTCTTAGTTGACTAATTTTGACTATGAGTATACTAGCTATGAGTAGCTCCTAAACTGATTTTGTATACTTTATAATTTCACTTATAAATTTTTAATTAAATAAATAAATAGTTAATGTAGTTTAGAAGCTGTTTTATATTTCTTTGATTCCTCAGTAGCTTCATTTTTAGAATAAATTTTAACAGATACAGAATCTATTAAGAGATAAATTCTGTATTTGCTAATTTTATTAAATGTCTATTAAATGAGATATATTTTAAACTTTTTAGTTATAAAAAAAAAGGAGAGTAAAATATTTTATTTCTGAATTTCAAGTTGAAAAAAGCATATTTTACTATAAAAAATTTTTTTTTTTTTTTTTTTTTTTTTTGATACAATTAAAAAAGTTTATTATTATCTTTTATTATTTATTATTATTATTATTTTTTTTTTTTTAGATATGATTGTTATATTGGCAACAATTTTTATCATTTATTCACATAAAATAATTCGTGATGATCTTCACACAACTCTTTTTCAGTAAGTCATATTACTTAAACTTATTTTATATGTTTTATACTGAAATCAATCCAATGGCAATTAAAATCTTTAATAAATTTTCAGTTTTAAACACGATGACAAAACTTTTTTTTTTAATTTAAACATGCTATGTATAAATATTAGTTTTAAAGATAAATTTTGTCTTGTTTAGATTTCTTAATTTTTTGCAAATACTTCGGATCCTAAGATTAGACCGGCAACAGGGCGCTTTCAAAATAATGAGTTTGGTAGTATATGAACATAGACAGGTACCTTTTAGTCACTTTTTCATTTTAGTTTTAGTAAACTATAAATTTAGTAGCTCTTTCTCAACTTTATAACTTATATTCTTATACCTTCAAAGTACGAACCTCTACAAACAAGTTGAGTGTGGAATCTTTAGGCAAATGGTGGGTTAGAACTCCATAATGACAATGATAACAATAATAATTTTATAATAATAATAATAATTTTTATAATAATTTTATTATAATAATAATAATTTTATAATAATAATAATTCATTAATAATAATAATAATTTTTTTCATTCAATGTATGGATACTTCACGTTTGTTCTACTTATTTAAGCCAATTGATGTATGTACACTCCTTTCATGTTCTACCTAAATTAAATCAGTTGATGTATGTACAAAAATCAAACAAAACTTCTTCCTCTCTCCCCCCCCCCCCCCTCCTTCCTTCTTGTCAAAAAAAATAATAAATAAAATGAATGTAAAACTTATTTTATACTTTATTTATTTATTTTTCAACAAAATTTTTATTAAAAAAAGATGTAAAACAAACATCTTTGTCTTGTAAAAAAAAACTATTAAACTTAATTACTTTAAAGACCATTGCTTTATCAGATAATTGTCATAATTAAAAAATGCGCTTATTTATTAAGATTAATTTTATGACAATAAAAATGATAATGATTTTTGTGCTATAATATAATTGTGCTATATAAATATAAGATAACATAAAACCTGAGTAAATAATTATAATGATGCTGGTAATGATTGAAAATTAATAAGTTTTAAACGCTTGATTTGTTATTTTTAAAGTATTGCATTGTCATTTATCAACTATTATGTATCTGTAAAATATGAATTTATCAACTGTGTATCTATAAATATGTAAATTCAAATTATAAATTTATGTAAAAATGTAAATTCAGAACTTTAGAAATCAATATTATTATCAAAAAAATAATATGATAAGCACATTCATGAATTTATTTTGCTTTTATTTATGTTATGTTAACAATAAAATAAATATTTATTAAAAAATTTTAACACAACACACTACAAAAAACTAATTTAAAACATATTTGAAAAAGTAACAAAAATGTAACAATATTTAAAAGTAAGTATGTGTATATTTAAATTTTTTTAAATATACTTTTAAATATTTTAAACACTATTTAAAAGTGTACGTTTATATGGTACAAATGTGCTACATTTGTACCATATAAACGTACACTATATAAACGTATTTGAGCTACATTATTAAATTTAAAAAAATTTAATAATGTAGCTCAAATAAATAACCCAATCAAAGTATACAGTCTGTAAAAATCAGTCTACCAAATAATGCTTTTTTTAATATATTTTTAAAATAATTTCATCAAAAAAAAGAGAGTACAGTGAAAATATATTTTGTACCAAAATATATTTTCACTGCAATAATTTTGACAAACAAAAAAAATAAACAGTGACAATAATTTTTTATTAATATTTTATGTATAAATGTATATAAATATAATATAATAATATATTATATATATATATATATATATATATATATATATATATATATATATATATATATATATATATATATATATATATATATATATATATATATATATATATATATATATATATATATATATATACACCTATACTTTATGGCTAAGAAAATGTGTTTGTGGTAAAAAATGGCTCTTCGCTTGTTTGTGGTTTTAAAACTCACAAAATTAAGGTTATGAAATTAAGGTTATTAAGATTATGTCAAAGCACATTAATTTAATTAATTTTAATTAATTTAATTGTAATTAAACCACAAAAACGCAAATTAAAAGACTAGAATGTTTTTAAAAACATACTAAATGTTTTTAAAACTATTCTGAATGTTTTTTTTTTCTTTTTTTTTAAATAAAAAACTTTCTGAATTTTTTTACTGTAAAACATATGCGGAGTGTTGCTACATAGGCTATCTTATAGCCTAACTCGCAACCGAGTGTTGCTACATAACTGACAAATAGCCTGACTTTCAACAGAGTACTGCTACATCAACTGAATCAATCTCTCTCTTTCTCTCTTTCTCTCTCTGTTTATATATATATATATATATATATATATATATATATATATATATATATATATATATATATATATATATATATATATATATATATATATATATAATCAGGCATTGTTTTAAAGCATAAATTAGCGCGTCATTTTGATTAAGCCACTTTTTATCATTTTTTAATATTTAAATAATTGTAAAGATATTGTTTAAGCAGTAAGATAAAAGATTCGTTTTAATTTAATTTACGTTATAAAAACCATTTATAAAGTTTGAGTGATGATTATATAAAGAAGTTCAGAAAAAAATTGTTTGATATTTGCGCTTTTTACAAATGTAATAAGTAAATAATAAAGTTCAAATATAATAAATAAAAGTAAAGAAAAAACAAAGAAAATTTTATTTTTATCATTCTAACTTTTCCATCAAAAATGTTCAGCAAAAGAAAAAAGATGTTGTATGATGTTTAAAAAAACAAGCATAAAAGACATATTTTAAAAAAACTTTTATTTATTTTGCCAGAGCAGGAATATTTATTTAGACATTTTATATCAGCGCCACTTTCAATATTCCAATTTTTTGTTTGTTTGTTTGTTAAATTTTAAAAAATTAGATTTTTTTTCTCGGTTTTTCTTCCTCCTTTTCTATTTTTACAAAAAATTAAATTCCTTGTGAACATTTTACTAATTGTAACATTAAAAATACTCATAAAGCGCTCGTTTAACTTTTCTGCCTTAAGACAAGTGAATGTACAATGGCATATATATTTTAGTAAATGGTATTTGGAAATTAATAATAAATCTAATAATATGAAATTTATAAATGACTTATAAATCGTCTAATAAATAATTCTCCTTTATTCTAATGTATTTCATTTCTTCCCTCAGGCGTTCACTGCTCGTGTGTGACCATTCGGCGAATTTTATATGCCAAAGTTTTTAAATATATATTATTTTGTGACAAACTAAGATTTAAGTTTCCAAATGGTATTTGGAAACTTAAATCTTAGTTTGGTACCAAAATGGTATTTGGAAACTTAAATCTTAGTTTGTCACAAAATATGCTGGTAACTAACTTGTTTTTTTTGTTTTTTTTTGCTAAAGTAACTAACTTGTTTTTTTCTTCTTTGCAACAAGAAAAAAAATTTTATTTGTAAATAACTTTTAAAAAGTAAAAATCATTATTTGCAAATTTGGAAATAAAAAAGCAAAGAGTTTCTTTTGAGGATATTTCTTAATTTATTTGTGTATTTACTTTTTATTCTTGTTATTCTATACAATTACCATAACATACTATTAAGATATGCGCTATGAAATTATCAAAGCTGTGAAAAGGTGTATTTTAGCAAGTTTATAAATGATTTTTGACACATTTCTTCCAAATTTGTTGAAAAATAGAATAAGACTTAACAAAATAAGCTATTATTATTAAATAAAATGTATAAATAATTAAAATTAAATAAAATCTAAAAATAGTTATAAATTAAATAAAATTTATAAATAAAAGACAAAATTGAACTGGAAACAATTCTTTGCTGAAAAACTAGTTTACCAGTTGCTACTTTAAATATTTTAACAATATTGTTCTAAGTTTTATATTATTCATAATATTTTATTATAATATTATTAATTATAATATTAAGTATTTTATCTACTAATTTTTAAAATCAAGCAAAGATCAAGTCTTTGTATTTTAACTATTATCTTTTAATTCACAAAGAAATTCCTGCATACTTACAAGTTTCTGTATACTTACAAATTTCTTCATACTTACAAGTTTCTGCATACTTACAAGTTTCTGCAAACTTACAAGTTTCTGCATACTTACAAGTTTCTGTATACTTACAAATTTCTTCATACTTACAAATTTCTACATACTTACAAGTTTCTGCATACTTGACCTGGATGGCCTTGGCATGCACAAACTTATAAATTTACCTATTTTTTTGTGAAATCAGGTTTCAATCTTCTGACAAATTGTTTTATGTGGTTTTAAGTAGCACCACTTTACTTATTCACCTTTCTTTTTGTTCTTTATTAATCTCCTTTGTCCCAAGATTGCATTAATCACTTATTTTCACTCCTTAATTTTATGGTTTCTTAACTTCTTACCTTTCATTGCACTTATTACCATATAATACACTTCTTATCTTATATTATACTTCTTACCTTATATCATTACTTCTTACTTAAAGAAATCTTTTTTAAGATACTAAAACTTTTATCTTCTTCTGTCATTCAATCATTGGACTTCTTGTTACTACTTTAATGTTGATCAAAGTTTTTTTTTTTTTTTGTTATGGTTTTATTTTTTTGTGATGGTCCATGGGCTGATTTCTTTTGTTCCTCTGTTGAAAGTTGTACCTCTTTATAATCTCCTAGCTCCAGTCAGGCATACAAGCTTTTATTTTTTCCTGATGGTTTTTAATTCAAGCCTTACTCTATCCTGTGGTTTAAACCTTCTTGTGCAATTGATATTTTGAGTTGTAATCATTTATTTCCTTTGAGAACAAATGTCTTTTTATAATTGCAAGAAATTGCTACAATGTACTGTCTGAAGTTAATTATTCTCAGATTACCAAATCTTATTTTTGTCTCCAAGCTTAGAAGTTAGGTTCTAGAAAATCTTTAGTCAAGTTTATACTGCTAAAGAACAAAAGCTAATAACAGAAAATGCCTTAGGTTTATATTTTAGGCATTATTTTATGTTAACATTTTTTGTTTTGTTTTATTGAAAACATTTAATTGAGTTGTTTGTAGGTAAATAAATTAAAAGAGTTATGTTATTTTTGTATATTTGTTAGGAGTTGATGACTTGTTGGTACTTGAGTTTTATTTTACTTGCAGCGTGTTCATTTTTGGTTTATATTGCCGAAAAAAATGACTCCATAGTTTCATCAAACAAAATAAAAAATCTTGGGGAAGGAATTTATTTTGGAATGGTAAGCCTTTTGATTATTTAATTTCTTGCAAAATAATAATCAAGTGTGTGTGTGTGTGTGTGTACATAGATACATAGATGGCCTAAAATATAATCGTTGTATTGATGTGGATATTAAGCCTTAATTGAGTAAATTATAGACTTTAGATTATCTAAACGGAATTATCCAGATTATCTAATGGAATTATCCATTGTTTAGACAATTGACATTTTCTAAACAATGGATAATTCCAAAATGATTATTATGCTAATGTTAAGTCAAATTATGTTTTTCAAAAAAATTGCAGTAATTAAAACCCAGTATTAAAAATACCCCAAAAAGTTAGCCCCCACCCCAAATATAAGGGCAATGAGTTGAAAAAAAAAATTGTTGCTATATTATAGTAATTTAAATTCATCGACAGGTTTTAACTTTCATCAAATAATCTTTTATTCTTCAAAAGTTATGATCATGTAAAGTTTACAACCCCCTCATTTTGGGGAGGGTGAAAACTTTATACAGTTATATCTTTCAAACATGAACAGATTATTAGTTGAGAATTTAAATCTGTCTTTCTAATTCTCAACAAATAATAAATAATAATAATAAAAAGAAAAAACAATAAATTGATAAATAATTTTGGGTATTCTTGTTTACAAAATCAAATGAATTGAGCCAAACAACTGCAGTTTTTAAAATATTTTATTTAATATTTTTTATGTATTTAATAAGTTTATATAGTAGGCAAACAAGTATAAAGTAATACAGGTTATACAGTTAAGAACTTTGTTCTTCTACATCAGAAAATCAGAACTTTATTCTTCTACATATTCTGAATCAGAGAGTTACTTTACAGATACTAAATACTTTCACTTTTTTTTTTCTGCCATCTTTAAAAAGATTACAACTACTAACATATAATTTTTCATTTGAAGAACTAGTTTTTTTTTTTTTGTTTTTTTTTATTTGCATTCACTCCCAACAAGGCTGCAAGCAACCACTATTAAGTTGGGAGTTACTAGGAAAAAAAAAGAACAGAGTTATAGAGCAAGGAAACGGTTGACAGAAGACTTAAAAAGTTGAAGGTTGTATGAGTCAGGAAAACATGAAGATGGGAGAGAGTTCCAAAGAATTGAAGTGCGGGGAAAAAAACTAGATGAATAAAAGTTTTTAGAGCATGCAGGGACAGATACAGAAAACGAATGAGACTTAGCTGAATGACGAGTAAAACGAGAATGAATTTTAGTTGATGGAACTAGAGATGATAACTCCTTTGAGCAGTGACCATGATAGTATCTGTAGAAAAGAGAAAGAGATGCAACTTTACGACGATGGGAAAGAGGTTCAAGCTTAGCAGATAGTCCAGGTCCAACAACATTTACAATGCTTTTTGGACCTTGTCAAGAAGAGAGAGTGAATCGTTAGAAGAACCAGCCCAAATATGACAACAGTATTCCATACAGGGACGAATAAGAGATTTGTAGAGGTAGAGAATGGAATCAGAAGTAAGGAAATGGCGAGCACGATAAAGAGAAGATAAATTGATAGCTTTACAACTATTTGTTTGATAAATTCTCAAATGATTTCACTGGCCTACCACTAAATATAGATTTTGTTTTTTTATCCTTATTTTTTGATGATTTAATAGTCTTTTTTTTAGGTTGGAATTAGGAATTAGGTTACATAAAGTTTTTATAAACTCTTTTACTTAAAGACCAATGTTTACAATACATCAAATTGAGAAAATTATTCACACAAAAATTGTAAACATTAAGTTTGCCTTTTTCATTAGACATAGATAAACCATGCTGTCTTATTTAATTAATTGTTGACATATTACTAATAGCAATATTAAAAAATGAATAAGATTTATATATATATATATATACAGGGGCTATTCTAGAAAAAAATTTTGAGCGATAGTACAATACATATATATATGTGTGTATATATATATATATATATATATATATATATATATATATATATATATATATATATATATATATATATATATATATAAACATCTTTTATTTTGCAGCAAGTATTAAAAGAAGCAGCAAATACTAGCTTTTTTTGTTTTGCAAAAACTTTACATGAAATAATTTTTTGTTGAAAATATATTCTTTTAAAATTAAATTGAAAATTTTTTTCCCAATATATATAATTAAATAAAAAAAAGTTTATTTAAAATAGCATCTCGTTGTAAAAGATGTTTCTTTGAATACATTATTTAGCAGTGGATATACTTTAGTTAGGCTAAGAAAAACTATTATATTTAATACTTTTACTAAATTTTTAAGTTTCAAATTCTACTTTTTTTGTAGTTGTTTAAATTTTGTAACTTTTAAAGTATTTTAAGTGTAAACCTTTTTAAATATTTATTAACTTCTAGTAATTTTATATTTATTAGGTACTAAATGTTTAGAAAACTTTTGACAATTTTTAATTAATATTTACATTTGCAAAATTAAAATTAAAGTAGTTAGGCTTATTAAACACTTTGGTATTGTATTCAAATAGATATTGTCTATTTTAATTTTTCGAAAACAAAACATAACCATAAATGCTTGTATCAATAAGTATTTGCTTATATCAAAGAGTATTCACTATTATTTTAGTTTTCTTTTTGATTTAAATATCAGTTCTGTTCATTTAACTTTTACTAAATGTTAATAATTTTTACAGTAGTTTAAGGCACTTTTTTTTAAAAAAAAAGATAACTGCAGTAAACTTAGTGATTACAAAAATATATAATAAAAAAATTGGTGTATATTAAATATATTACATTTACTATGGACTTTTTTAAACATAAAAGACAGAAGTTTAAAAATAAATGAAGTTTTTTTTAAACATTAAAGTCATTGAGGTTTGAAAAATAAAAGAAGTTTTTTTAAACATTAAAGAAAAGTTTTTTTAAACATTGTTTAGAAAAAAAAGAAGTTTAAAAATAAATAAAAGTTTATTATGTCCTTGTAATCATTATTTTTATTATTAAATTTAAAAAGAATATGAAGAGAAACCAAACTCTCTGAAAAAGATTTTGTTTCGTTTTTTAGTTTTCCTAAAGTAAAACAAAATAGTGAGCTAAATATCAAAAGTTTATTTATTCAAAAATTAAATTTGTGTGATTACTATGTTGTCATTCATAGATGTTGAGTTTTACTTTTACCGGATGAGGGTCAATATATTTGGTGAGAGTTAAAAATCTATAATGAAATTTGACAAGTTTTTTTAGTAGGCATAAAAACGTTATTTATTTTCTCAAATAGTGAACAAAATGTATTCATACTTGAAGAAGCACGCATTATAAACTGATCAAAAGATTCAGATCAAATATTGCGATGGTAATTCAAAAAAACAAGGTGATTTAAACACTCTTGATACATCGTAGAACACAAATAGATCTTAAGCCTACAAAGACAAGAAAAAAAGCGCTCACATGTACATGAGGTGACAAACATATATAGTAAAATCTTGGCCTGCTTCACAAATTGGGAATCAGTGGAATTCATTGATAAAGAATCGAATTCAAGCAGCAGACTCAAAACTGTTTCAAAATTATTAATTTGAATATTCAAGTAAGCGATTGCAGCTTTAGACTTCCATAATCTTCAAAGTCATCTTTCTAAAAAACCTCAACGAATCATCCAAGCACCGACTGATGAACTTTTTGACATTTGTTAAATGTTGAGTGATCTCTGTCGTTTTGAATCCAATCTAAAACCCAGTTTTTAGATTGGATTCAAAATGACAGAGGTCACTCAACATTTAACAAATGTCGGCATGCGATCAAGGCATGCGATCAAAGCATGCGATCAAGGCATGCGATGGCACCTCTTTATATGACCACACATGTACGATTTTTGTTTTGCTGACTTGATAATTTTTGCGCATTTAAAGATGGTGCTTAAAAATGAAAGTAAACTAGATAAAAATGAAAACAAAAACCATAAACTGTAAAAAGAAAATAAACAATAGTAAAAAAAGTAAGCTATAAACCAAGTTTTTATCTTTTAAATTTAAAAATGTTTCTCTTAAATAGACTTGCATAAAGATCAAAGTTTTAAAGTTAATTATTCCAAACTGATTTATTAACAAAGTTTTTAATAATTTTGTTGCAGGAATGAATAGGCTGTTGTGGGGTTTATAGCACACCATTATATGTAAAAATTTAATGTCGTTTGATATAAACCACTTACTAAAATTAAAATTATTTTTTTTCTTTTTTTACTGTTTTTGTTTCTTATTTTTAGGTTGTCTGTTACTTCCATCGACGAAATTTGATTCAAGTGAAGAAACAAAATAAACTTTTTGTTTTCATTTTTATATAATTTACATTCCTTTTTAAGTGCCATTTAAAATGTGCAATAACTATCAACCTATTTAAAAGTTGTGGCCAAATCAGCAAATTAAAAATTGTACATGTGTAGACATATAAAGGCGTGAGGTTGCACGCCTTTATATGTCCATACATGTACGATTGGTATTTTTATTTAAGTTTATTTTTAAACTGATTTAAGCTATGAGAGTTTACAACTTCTACTGGTAATTAACTTGTTTCTCTGCACAGCAGCCTTGTTTGTCAAGGTTCGTGTTTCAGATTTATAGAGTTGAGAGAGGGTTCTAAACACAATTAAGTAGCCTCCTCGTCTGTAGTAGTCTTTTTGGCCTTAGGTGGTGAATTAACATAAAAAAATAAATAATAAAATTAATTATATGCGATTGCTGCTCGATCAAGGAGATAATTTTGTGAAGGAACACTTTTAGTAAATTTGGCTTGCTATCTAAAGTTGTATCCATGTGTCTGAATCTGATTTTTTTTTATATTTACTTGCTCTAATTTAAACTTATTAGTCTTTCTTAAAATATGTTTTTAAGAGAAGGAATCAGCATATTTGCTTGTCTATGTACTCGTTTTAACAGGTAAGGAGATCGCACAGCAATACCCTATTCAAGATGTAGACTGACAAGTGTAGTATAAAGAACATCTATTTATTTATATAACTAAAGGTGCGCTTTATCATACCAAGCAATCGATTTGCTTTAGACGCAGAGTTTGTTTTCACATACAGTTTAGATTTTTCTAAAGTTACTAAATTATCATTATTAGAATTGGGTATGAAGTAATCTTGCTTGGATTGTTTTTCCCAATATGCATAACATGACTTTTTTACAGTTAAACTTGATAAGAATTTTTTGACCATTCAAATACCTTGATAAGGTCATTTTGAAGAGCTGGTGTAGAGTATTTGTTGTAAATTTGATTTATGATTTTAGTATCATCAGCAAATAATTTAGATTTATTAGTTATGTTTTTTTAAGTCATTGATATAGATGACAAAAAGAAATGGACCTAATACAGAACCTTGTGGGATACCACTAAAAATATCATTCCAATAGGACTCAATTTGGGTAATTACTACTCTTTGCTTCCTATTTTCTAAGAATGATTTAATTCATATGGCAATGCGATTACTGATACCATAATTTTTTAATTTAGGTAAATGTCTTTTGTGACCAACAGTGTCAAATGCTTTGGCAATACTTTTGGTTGAGGTAAATGATATTAGCTGAGGTGTCGTTTTCTATGCAAGTTGATAGAAGGTTCATAGTCTCCAACAAATTTGTTATACATGGTTATCTAGGCAAGAATCCATGTTGTTGCATATTAATCTGATTATTCGTTTTTAAGTAGTTCAAATTTTCTTTGATTATTGATTTAAGCGTTTACAGATAATTGAAGTCAATTTAATAGGTCTATAGTTTTCTGGTATAAGTTTTCTACCTTTTTTTATAGATACGAGTGACATTTGCTTCTTTCCAACGACTTAGTACTTTACTAAAAGCTAAAGATTAGTAAAATTGGATATCCTAGTGATTTCGAGCATTCTTTAAGAAATATAGAGTGAATCTGCTGATAGATTTTTTATATCTACATTGTTCAAAGGTTCTGCCAATAGATTTATTTATATCTACATTGCACTGCCAATAGATTTATTTATATCTACATTTTTCAAAAGTTCATTATATTTAAATAATATTTTACCTTCATGTATTGGTTTAGAAATGTATATATTTTTATCATTAAATTCAGAAATTAGATTTGTATCCTCCTTGACAAATACCGATTGAAATTGAGTATTTAAGATATTAGTATTAATAAAAAAATTGTCTCAGAATGAAGAATTTTTATCTTGAAGTGATGGGATAAGGTTACTTGTATTTTGCATGTTGTTGATATAAAAGCTATGGGAATTGTTTTGCTCTAGAAACTAGGTTTTTCTCAAATTCATTTCTTGTATTCTTTTCCTCTTGTTTTGAGCAATTTTGTTTAGCTCTTTATAATCATTAATTTTGTCGTTTTATTTCCCCCCCCCCCCCCTTCCCCCACTTGCACAATTAAAGTAAAAAGTAATTTTCATTTTTAGAGCTAGGTTGACAATATTTTTTGATGAACCATTTGTTAATGCAAGGATGTCTAACGTAATACAGAATAAATTTTTAATTTGAATTTTATAGTAAAATAAAAATGTCACACATTTGATTGATTTTTTTTTCATAAAATAACCCATTTACATTGTGAAAAGAAGTATTTTATATCTTAGTAATTTCCACGAAAAAAAAAGTTTTGGCATTGTTTTGGAACTTAAACTATGATGAGCTATTGAAAGAAAAAAATAGATTCTATTTTAAAAACATTAATAACAATAATTTTAATAACATTATTTAGCTCATCTTATATTTGAAATGTTGGGGCATCGAATGTTGAGTTAGAAAACAATCCTCAACTGTATTTACAAATGCGTGGTCTGGCCACCTTTTGTTATTAAAAAGTTGATTTACACTTCCATTTTTCTATAATATTTTTGAAAAGTTAAAGTCTTCCGTTACAAATACACAATGGTAACTTTGATTATATAATTTATTTTTTGCAGCATGAGTAGACTCATTTATCTCTAGATCAATATTGTTGTTTGGGGGTCTGCATAAATGTAAATGCTGTTTGGGGTGTGCAAATGCAATCCATGCAAATGCATCCAAATAATATCTTTTTTTTTGGATTAGTAAAGTTACTTATATTCAACTTTATAATTGCGCAACTTGATAACAATTATTTTAACCAAGTTTGGGTTGCTAGAAATGAAGATAACAACCCACTGGCTCTTCTACCATCATTTCTGTCTTGTCTATATAATGAATAGCTATTTAGATTGAAAAGCGAGTCTTCTTTAAACCATGTTTCAATGATTCCAATGATATGTGGCTTATATTTATCATTTGCTAATGTAAATTCTTCAAATTTAAGTTTTAAGGTTTTGTTTGTTTATAAAAAATTTTAAGGTTTTGTTTGTTTATAATATAATTTAAACATGAATTTCACTCTAAATAAAATTAAGAATTTTAATTTTATGTGTTTTTATTTAATTAGGAAAATAAAAGTTTATTTGTAATACAAAAAATATTACATCCATTTTATTCTAAATAAATTTATTCTGCTATGATGATTGTTGTTGTTTTTTTTATTGTAAAATTACAAATAAAATCTTGTACAGTTAATTTTAGGCATCTAATGAAATCATAAATATATTATTTTAAAGGTTATGAAGTTAAACCACTCAAAATTGTATTCTGGTCTTTTCATTAATTTTATTGAAAATTGTCAAAAATATCTTTGAGTTAAAGAAAAAACTTTAATATAATGGTTTCTTATGGTTTTTATTTTAAATTTTTTTAAGATAAATTTTGAAAATATAGAATAACAGATTTGTAAAACCATTAGAGAAAATTATAAAATAATTTGTATATTTTTAACATTAACCTGCCGTAGTAAAAACTCTCTCTGAAGTTCCTGGTATACAAAAGAATTTCCATGTATAAATATTCTATCATTACTCTAAAATGTTTATCTTTTTTGCTGTTTATCCTCAAAAATAACCAATTTCTGAGCACAATTTAGTTTTTGTTGAAACTCCTAAATATCTTGTTAAATATTACAACTGTTAAGAAAAAGTTTATATTTATTTGCATTTAACAAGACTATGTTAGTATCCAAAAGCTCTTTAAGTTTCTCAACATATGTTCATAATTTTATGTATGTCCATAACTTATTTTATTAAACTTTAGGTCAGTGCATGGCAAAGTGTTGTTTTGGAGTTTTCATTCTTTCATTTTTTACTTTGCTTTTCTGTGGTTTGAAAAAAATATTATTTGATAATTTAATTTTAAATAAATTTTTTGTTATTTTAAAACTATTATACTAGTTTTTTCAGGGTTTTTCAATTCAGTTTTATTATTATTTTAAATAACTAGATCTGTTTAATTCTTTTTTAATTTTCCAAGATAACTTTGTTGACAATTGGTTATGGAGATTTCAGTCCTAATAGCTGGATTGCAAAGATTATTGTTGTTGTGTTTGCTTTTATTGGTACAGCGTTCTTTGCTCTGCCAGCGGTAAGTTCTAATATTCATTTTATATCTAACAATTATATTTTATATGTAACATTTAAAATTAATGTTATTTATTATGTATAAATAAAATTAATTGTTACATATAGGTTATGTATTATGATAATAATGATAATAAAACTTTTATAATAGTAATAATTATTATAATAATAGTAGTAGTAGTAAAGATAATTGAAGTAATAAATAATAAATATTGTGAGAAATTATAACAAAGTATTTAGAATTTGTTTAAAATTTGTTTTTCAGGGTATTTTGGGTTCAGGTTTTGCATTAAAAGTTGCCCAAAATCAAAAGAAAAAGCATTTCAATCGAAGACGTGTTCCTGCAGCTTTGATTATTCAAGTAGTTTCTATTGTTTTTTAATCGTTTTTAATCGGACAGTGATAGTTAGGCATATCCTAAAGTGTTTCAATCTTGTTAATTTTTTTTTCTATTAGTACGTTTGGAGGAATTACTCAACTCAAGTTAATCCATCAAGCAACACATGGACAAACTACAGAATGATTATTAAGGAAAAACATCAAACATTATCAATGAATAATACACCAATTTTGAGTAAACAAAATAATTCAAACAAAAATGTAGTTGGTTTACATAAAAAAAATCAGGTTGATCGAAAACCTTTTAAAGAAACAACGTGTGCTACTATTCCTTCTGCTGTTAATTTTAGGAATAGACCAAATTCAGATGGTAATCTGATTGTAATGTTTCCAACTAATATTGAAGAACATCAAGGAACTATTGTTAGCCTTCCTGCCTCAACTGATGTTGACTTAAAAGGTAAATTAAAACTTAATATTGAAGAGCATAAGGGGACTATTGATAGCCTACCTGTCTCAACTAATGTTGACTAAAAAGGTAAATTATAACTTAATTTATCAACACAAAAAAAAATCAAAAAAGTTGAAAATTAATTTAATGTTTTTATTTTTTAATTCAAACTTTCAAAATTTTAAGACTTCATTATTAAACTTTTTATTTCACCAAATACCACAACTCACCAACCAACAGATAATATTTGTTTTTGAACTATAACATGAACGCACATTACATATAGCACATTGAAGTTAATGTTTTTTTAATCTTAAAAGGAGCCTATGTTATTTTACATACCAAGCATACATACCAACCAAAAATATTTACCAAACATTATCAAGCTCACATAATAACCAATAATACAAAGCAGAAAATAAGTATTTCATATCTTTTTGATACATATTTGTAAAACGAAGATGTATGCAAACTTAATAATCCCAAAAACCTACATTAGTAACCTAAAATTACCAAAGTATATGTAAAATTTAAAGGACATATTTAATGAATCATTAATAGTTAACATGCTTATTGGTTACGAATATACATCTTGTTATGTCATTTATCAATGTTTTGTTCCCATTATAATACCTAAAAGAATGTACAAAATCCCAAATTTACAGGGAGAGATTAGTACAAACTTTTTACCAGTTGTGTCATAATTTAAGCTTCATAGTTTTTGTCAGTATTACATCACTCAGAGTTGCTTCTTGCACTCAAGATGTAATAGCCAAGTATATCAATACTGCATAGTGGTTTCATCTACAGGTATTAATGAAAGCAATCATGTCATTTGTGAAATTTTAATAAAATTAACTTCTTTGGTGATTATGACAAGCTACACATAATTTCTAGGCATGTTGCTAAACTACCAAATGGTCTTTACAGAAAGCGCATATCTTGTCTGTTAAAGCATAAAATTTTGATTTAAACAACTTGAACACTGATATTATTATGTTTTGACATGCTAACATCATTTAGCATTTCAATATTTCACAAAAACAAGTAAAAAACTTTTTTCGTCAAAAAAAAAGAAATCCTTATGAAAAGAGTAATATAAATTGAAAAATTTGCAAAAAAAAAGGAAATTTTTTTTTTTGGGTCTTATTTTTAGGGTGGTTGTTATTTTCAGAAATGATACAAGTCAAGTAAAAAACAGTTTATAAATTAAAAAATTTAACAAAAGTTAAAAAAATTTCCTTATATCAATGTACTTTTGTTCAGTTTGGTTCAATGTACTTTTCCAGTTTTCCAAAACAAAATTTTGCAATTTTAAACAAAGTCCGGCAATTTATCAAAATAATATTTTAGTTAGCTGTACGCCTAACTTTAATCTGTGAAGTTTTTATGCACAACATATCCACTAAATATACTGGTTTGTTTCCACTTGACATCAATAAAATCAGTCAAATTTTAAATTGCTAATAAGTTTTAAACACCATTATCTTTACCAGAGTCTTTGTTGTCTCAACACCCAGAATCTTAGTACCAAACTATGCTAAGCGTAAGTTGTGTAGTTCAACAAAACTTTAATAAATCAAAATAGTGAATGGTGCAATTATTTAAAATGCAAGTTTTGGCTTTTTCAAAGATATATATCAAAGCAATATGTAAAAAACATGGAATATTATTCCACCAAAAAGTGCGGCAAAAGTAATAACTCAGTAATCTCTGAAACAACTTCATCATAAGAATAAAAATATTTTTTTAATTAATTAGTTGTTTTTTAATTGTTATTGCTGATTGTTTTTTTATTTGTTATCATTGGTTGTTTTTTATTTGTTATCATTGGTTGTTTTTTTATTTGTTATCATTGGTTGTTTTTTTATTTGTTACCATTGGTTGTTTTTTTATTTGTTATCATTGGTTGTTTTTTTTTAACTAAGTGTTCTTTTAGTCATCAATTTTTTTTTTTTTTTCATTTTGCCTAATTGTCAGGGTAAAATAGTTCTTATTTTTAAAAAAACAAAGTTTTTTAATAAACTAAAAAAAAAAACTAAAAAAAATTTACTGCTCAAATTCTTAACAAAAAAAATCCATAACTATTTTCATTTGACATATTTTACTCATTTATTTTTGATTAGATTTTTATATCTTTTTAAGGTTTCACTATTTTGTGTTATTGCTATTAACTTTAATGTGCATGGTTCTGCAGTTGTGTGGTTTCATTAATTCATTTTTAAAAGTTTTGATTTTTGATTTTAAAATAACATAAAAAGTTTTCATCAAAAATTAATATCATCAAAATTATTAATATCATCAAAAATTTTAATTTATTTTCAAATAAAGAAAATGTGCCGAACTACTTGTGTTTTTAAAAGAATGTTGTTCCTGTGTTAAAAAGGTTTATGATTAAATTTTTTTAAAAGAATGTTGTTCCTGCGTTAAAAAGGTTTAACGCAAGAACACGTTTAAGGTTAAATTTTTTTTGTTATGCTAGAGTTTTTAAAGTCGAGGATAAATGTAGAGAATCAACGGTCTTGCACTCGTCAGTAAGTTTAGATTTAAGTTTTAAAACTTTTTGTCAATCTATATATAATATATATCATAAATAATATTGTAATAATATAACATTAATCATATATAATAAATTAAATATGATATTTATCTACTGAAATGTTTAAGGATATTTGCAATAATTACACATATATAGACTGATTTATATATATATATATATATATATATATATATATATATATATATATATATATATATATATATATATATATATATATATATATATATATATATATATATATATATATATATATATATATATATATATACATATACATATACATATACTGTTATGAAAAAATAAAATATTGCTTGATATCATTATTGATGGTTACTTGAGTATAAGTCTCTAAATCTGGTTTCACCATCCGTCGAAGAAAATCCATTTTCAGATTTGCATAAAATTGCAGTAAAAAACTGCTATATATTTAACTCTAGAGCAATAAAACTTCATTTTTTATAACTTTTACTTTCATTCACTTCATAATTTTTAATAGATGGTGTTAAATAAGTTATCTTTGGAATAAAATAAAAAAAATTGGTTGCATTTTTTCAGTTAAAAAAAGAAAAAATGAGTTATCTGTACCATAAAAATTATAAAAAATTGAAATTGTTTTTTTATAAAGTATTACAATAAAATTCTTCAATAAACCTTGAGCATTAGCGAGGATTATCCTTTTCCGGGTATTTCCGGAATTCCTGATATTTTTTTAGCTTTTAGTTTTTTCCTGATATATAAAACATTTTCTATGCATTCAAGTTTAGGTATAAATTTTTGCAATATATATATTTGTTATGCAATATATTTGTTTTTTAAGCTTTTTCACTCAGTACTCATAGAAAAATAAAGAAAAGTTTGAAAAAAAACTAGAAACAGCTCAACTAAAAACAAAGTTAAAAGGAAAATAAGGGAAAATGTATTCCCGATATTTTACCCTAAAAATTTTCTGGTTTTTTCAAATATGACCTGGATGATCTATGCATTAGTTGTTCAATCAATTTTTTTTCTTAGATTTGGCATCTGAGTTAACAAAAAAATATGCAAGTCAAGCAAAAAACTACAAGGAGAACAGGAAGACTGTTTGCTTTTTGTGTCTTGGTAAGCCTAGTTGCTTTTTAACCAGCTATATGACAAAAAAAGTGCAACAAATTCTTAAGCAGTTAACTGATTCAAAAAGTCCCAACTGATCCAAAAGTCCCAACTGGCTTTTGTTAGCAATGCTGCTCCAACCTTAGGAGGGTTGAGGAGGGTAAGCTTTAAACCCAGCAACAGCTGTTTGACTTCACAACTATCAAAGTCCGTCCTGTTACAAGAGACTCAGTTTGTGATTACTTAAATTGCTCAGTTGGCAAAGCAAAGCATAATTCTCAACATCCAGTCTTGGCAACCCAGAAACCTGAAGCAAACAGAATACAGTTGAAAAAAGATGTTCTCAATGCTTTTCAATTATTGGCAAGGGTCTCCCACACAATTGCTCAAAGTCTACCTTGCGAATGAATTTTTCAGAAGTTGTGTCAAAGAACTCTGTGGCAGCTGAAAGAATGCAGTATCAGTCATTACCAACTAGGAAGCTTCACTTCATGGAACGGTTTGTTTTAGTAGACCTGAGGGAATAAGAGGCCCCCCTTTTACAGTTCTCCCAGTTAATATTGTATTAGATATTTAAAGTTTTCATATTTTAAATTCACATTTTAAGTTTATGTAATGCATAATATTGTAAAATCTCTCTTAATTTTTTCCAAGGTTTATCTTCAAGAGCAATAAGACTTTTCAATGAAGGACCAGAACTGATAGCAAAAGATCTTGTTAATGTGCGAAAAAACAGGGCTGTCCAATTCTGGTGTAAAAAAGCTGGTGTCAACACTAAATCAAGTTGTTCTAAGTCGGATTGTTGAGAAGAACTTCCTCTCCAAGTTTAGTCAGCTGAGCAAAATACTTGAAAGTCATTTTACCAAAACTTGGATGAAAGTTACAACTGACAAGGACACAAATCATGTTGATAAACTTGTCATTCACTTCAAAGACTTCAAAATTCTTTGTCAGCAAGTTCTTGAAGCTAGAAACCTCTCTGATGACTACTTTGTAAAACTGGGAGTTGATGGTGGTGGTGGTTTTCTAAAAGTAAGCTTTGGATTCATGAAAAAAGATTTAGCTTCACAATCTTCACCATCAAAATAACTTATCCCCAATTCTCAGACCAAAGATTCTGGTGTTAAGAGTCAGTTACTGATTGCCATTTTTGAAGATCTCCAGGAAAACTATAGCTATGTCAAGTAAGTTTTTGATCTGCTGAACCTTAAGGAACTTCCCTTTGTTTGTTTTTTTGTGATATGAAGCTGACAAATATCATTTGTAGTCTACAAGCACATTCTAGTGCATACCCATGCTCTTGGTGTGTTTGGCATTTCATTAAAAGATCTTGCAAAGTGTGGATCTCTAAGAACTTTTGGATCAATCATAAGAGATTATAAGGCATTGAATGTGGCTGGTGATAACATCAAGAAAGTAAGTTCATTAAGAAACTCTGTTCATTCGCTCTCATTGATTTATGTTCACAATTCATATTCATCAATGCCTCAGATGAATCCTTTGTCTTCGATGTCCTTTCATCATGGCAATATTTACTACAGGCCATGCGGATTCCTGTTGCGAATCCCTTTTTTTGACTGGGGGCGGACAAAGTTACAGAAAGCGTAAAAAATGGCTTAAAATGTTTGCGAACTAATCCATTATTTTTAGTTTACTAAATTTTAAAAGAACTGTATTAATGCAAAAAATGTTGCAGTGCTTATTAAATATCATCAAATTTAAATAAAACAATTTGAAAAAAAGTATAAAATACAATATTTTTCAGAATAATAAGTTGTAATTATTTAAAATCTAAATGACAAAAAAATGAGCAAACTTTAAAATAATGTAAAGGTAAAAAAGAAAAAAGCATCAAAATATATATCAAGAAAAAAGAAAAAAAAAAACATCAATAATGTTATAAAAAAATGTAAATAATAATTCTTCAATATTAGACAGATAACTTTAAAATCTTCAATGCAGGTTCCTTATTGGACTTAGGTAAAAAAAGCAAACAATGATTTTTAAGAAATATGTTTGATAATATTGTACTATGTTTCTTTAATATATTAAAGTTATAAATATCAGATATCATCATAAAAGTATTACACAATGACTTTCTGCACATTTTGTTTTTCTCAATTTTTAAAATAATGAAACAAAAAAGGACCTACTGCACACAGCAATCGATAGGGTACGTTCAATCTACCGCGGTCCATAGTTTTTGTCTTCATATAATTGAAAATAAAATGAAGTATCATTAAACATCGTCTTTTCTTATAGCATAACCTGCAATATAAAACAAAGCCATTTTTGTACTCAGTGACAAAGATGATTCTAGTTCAGGTAATTAATTAATGATGTCATGAGATTCTTCACTTATAAAATAGCTACATTTTTGACAAGAATGCTCCATATCAATAGCATAATCTGTAACATCAACTTTTAAGTTCAATAACAGTTTAGGTTTCTCGATGTTTAACTTTTCAACAAAATTTTGAACTGTTATAAAGTATGTTCCGTCTGAATCTTTCCTACACTTACTAAATGCTTTTTCAATGTAATCTGTTGAAAACTTGCCAAGCATAACTTAATCTAAATTATTATTTAGCAAATATTTACACATCTCCATGAATCCATAACATGTATGCCAAATTGAAGTACCTGCTCTCTAGTTAAAGATTTCGTTCTATGACCTTGTTCATCACTCATTTTAAATGCCATATCTCCAAAATCAAGTGCTGCAAATTTATGTCTAATTCTTCAGAAATAATTCTCTTACAAGAATCTCAAAATCAAATATCACCATAAACTTCTTTTACACTTAAAATTTTCCAAAATTTAGCGACTTTTTCTAAAAAACAAATGGTTTCATTCATATTGCAAGGGTGTATAACTTTTAAATAAGTTTTAAGAGCAGCTATAGTTTTATCACAAAATACTCTCAAACAATAGGCCGGATGAATAAAAATGAGCAATTGCTTTTACTCAGTATTTGGTCAGCTTTACGTGAATAAAAACTTTAAAAGTTTATCTCAAATTTTTATTCACGTAAAGTTAAGCAATTTACTCAGTAATTGCTCAGCTTTACATGATAAAAAACTTGAGTAAAATTCTTGAATTTTTATTCAGGTAAAGCTGACCAATTACTGAGTAAAAGCAATTGCTCATTTTTATTCACCCGGCCTAATGTGATACTTTTTGTCTTTAAATGGGTTTTAGATATATAGCTACAAAATTTAGACTTAATTAGCTGATCTTTCTCAAAATCAAAGATAAATTTTCACTCCACTTGGCAATCAAATCACTCCACTTGGCAATCAAATTTTGATCCTTTTCAAATTGTAATTCTTGCATTTTTTCTGTAATCCAGTTATTCCTAATATTTTTTAGTTGATGAACATAATCAAAAAGTAGAAAAATTCCACATTTTGTTAACCACGGTTTTCCTTCAAATAATTTTAAAAATGCTTGATTTGTTCAATTGCCATCACAAATAACTGAAATAACTTTTCGATCACAAATAACTGACATAACTTTTCCATTGCTAGACTTAACTAAATTAATGATATAGCATACTTGCTCAAACAAAAAAGAAGCATCTAAATGACAGACAGGTATCATTTTGCATAAAAAAGATGGTCCACCTCTGAATCATTTAACCATAATACCCAATACACTATTTTTTTCGATTACTTTCCGCTTTTCCAAAAAGATACCCACCATGATAAAGAAGAAGAAACTTTACAAAAACCTTATTTACCAAAAGTATACAATTTCTATGATTTTCCTCTAAATTTAAAAAAATGGTACTAATAAATTCAGTATCTGAAACTCTTTTTGTCATAGATGTAATTTTTGTCAATGTTTTTCAACAGCTTGAAATCTTTTCTTAACTGATTGTAT